CAGGAATGGAGCAGGAGCATATGTTTTTTTCATACTGTATACATACCAGATGGAATAAAATATCCTGATATGGCTATCCCAAAAAACACATAATGCATGGCTTGCTTCACTTCACATGGAATAAATTAGGAATAACTATTTGGAAGTTAATTGGCTGACTCCACTGTTGGCATAATGTAGGTACAGTCAGATTTAGGCCAATACTTAAGTACAAAGGCATTTTCCTTAGTTTTGGATTTTAAACATCTACCAATATATTCTATTAATATTCTCCAGCATGTAAAAGACAAAAAAAAATCAGTCTTGCAAAACCAACTCTGAGGACAGCCTGAGGAGAGCAGACTTCATCCCTGAATATTTAGTATCTGAGGAAAAAATATAGTCTATACCACTCATCTGCTATTTTCAGATGAGAACATACTCTGCAAATCCTTCTTCCCTCTGTTCCCTCCCCCCATACATTTTGGTAGTAGTACTATTAGGGATGCACAGCAATAAAATCGTGTTCAAGGGTCAGCCAAAATGCCATGGTACCCCACTAAGTCCTAGTGGATCAACTATAATCCATACATTTTTTCCTTTCTTAATCATGTTGGGGTTTTTATACATATATTTACTTTTGTTCTTATTTGTAGATTGTCTGAGAAGGGCTGTAGTAAGTTTTTGTAAATACTTCTTGCCCTTTGCACTCTAAAAGCTATTGACTTTTCCTGTGTGGTTGGTTTTGATGTTGTTTGTTCTCTTTCTCTTCTTTTAGGTCATAACCAACACTGCTGCCAAGTTAGTATCACGTCTATATAGTGCCAAATATTTGTGTTGCGCTGTATGTGTGAAGATTTGTTTTCTGGGGTAGCATGATCCCCTGTGTTCCTGCTGTGCCTGCTTGCAAGTGGAAGTATTTTTTACAAAAGCTGATTGGTATGGCAAGCATTGTGTGCTGCCACTGGTGTCCAGCAGTGCTCCCTTCTGAGCACAGCGCGTGTTCGGCATCTCTTGGTGACGCTCTAATGCTGTGAATGAAATTAGCATCTGAGCCTGCTCAGTTCTTGTAAAGGCTTTCAAGTGCTTTTGTCTCTACAATCCAGGTTGAAGTCATCTCAAATCTTTAAGCAGTCTTCATTCCTTCAGGGTTTGGGTAGCATTATCTGAGCTTTTCTTTTTTTTGGTGTGCTATCAGCGATACACTTTTAGCCTCAACGTGAAATTAATTTTCAAAGTCCCACTCCACTAAAATTCAAATTTAGCTTGGTATTGAGATACTGATCTGGAAAAAAATCTTTGAATTTGCCTTAGTAAATGTATTGCCCAAATACGAAGTAAATTTTGATTGGAAAATGTGATTGATCTGCTTTAGTTAGGAAAGTTCACAGAGTCCTCAGTTTTGATCTTTAGTTTTCTAAGGACAGAGAATTGTCTCTAACTCTCACTTTCTGCCTCTGAACTGAGTGTTGTCCAGAAACTTCTGCAGACTGGGTTCAATTCAGCATGAAATAAGTAATTCTAAGAGTTAAATATAAAATGTAAACTGACAATAGAATGTAAGAAGTAGTAGAATACATAAAGTTGAGATAATGTTTAAAGCATATCATTTACACTGATCTGGAATTCTCTGTTGATTTTAATGAGGTGTGGGTGTGGTGTCATGCAAATGATGTAACTCATTTAGAATGATAAACTCTAGCCAATTTACATTGACGATTATTCTGACACAATTTTCTTAGAAAGCAGAAGTCACAGTACAGGGAAGCTTTTAATCTTACTTGCTTTGAGATTTATTTTTCCTGATTCTTTCCTAGTTTAGAAGAAAGATCCCATTGATTTTGCAGAGGTGCTCCAGCTGTCTCTGCAGCCTCTGCCACTCTGTCCTAATGTGCAGCACCTCTAACAAGCATGAATATCTTTTAGTTACTTCTAGAGTTATAAAGAAAACCCTGCAGTTGAAAATCTGTCCCCTTTTCTATTACTTTTATGGGAATCCTGTTAACTTCAGTGGAAGTTTTGCCTTGGTATGTGTAATGTGACTAAAACCTCTTGAAAGACATCACTGAAACTGTTTTAAAAGCACATCTGAAAGCCCAAATCACTCCTGCTACTACCATTAGGGCAGTTTAGGCTGTTGCGAGATTACTAGCTTTGATTTCTGTGATTGTGGAAACCAGTTGCTTAGAACTTTATTCTTTACAGGTGCCATGTTTAACCTCTGTCCTTTCATTCACACAGTTTTCTCAGATCTTGGGTTCAGAATCTCTTTCAATACTTCTAACAGTGTGGAAGAAAGAGAACACTAAATTCAAGATCTTGAGGACCTGTGTGTTTGTAATTACCATGTGATCATTTAGGGTATACAAGGAAAAGAGGTATCATTGTTGAAGGCATGTGCATGTTCACTATTGAAACCTGCACCTCTGCACCTCAGCCTTCAACAAATGTCAGTGTAATAGTAAAATTGTCATAGTTGATGAATAGTTAATTGAGATATATTTTAAATGTCTTTGGAGGAAGATGATTTTCACTTTTAAAATGCATAATGCACCTTCCTGGTTCCCTCCCTTAAAATGTTGATGTGTGCAGCTAAAAGCTGTGGCTGTAATGCAGCATGTGCATGTATGTGTCTCTGTTGCTTGAGCATGTGGCTGTCAGTGTTCTATCAAGTATTTGGAATGATGTGTGTCTGTATCTCTCTGTCCATCTTCAGTCAGGGCATCCCACCAAACAAAAGGTTGAAAACATAGTGGAATCCCCTGGCTAGCTTCAGAGGTCACCTGTGATAAACTCTGGAAGATCTTTACCTGATTTTACTTTTTCCTCCATGCTGGGTTGAGGGTTCAGTTTTAACTCTCACCGTCTGGGTCTAACCCACAGCAAACAGGCAAAGTATTGTGTGAGAAAAGTGAAAAAAATGAATATTAACCAATAAACTTACAGTGTAATGTCTTAAACTGAAAAAAGAAAATTGTTCCAATCAAACAGGATTACATTTGTGAGAATTTATTTTGCAGGGGAAGATATATCCATTTCCAGATTTTGGGTTTAGTTCTAAACAAAACATTTATGAAGTATCTGTTATTTTCCAAAGGACAGAATTCTCAGTTTTGTCCAGTTTGGTGAGCATATGGAATCTGTCCTGCTGGCATCCCTCTGCTGCTGGCAGGGCAGGAGCAGCAGACTGAGGTTCTTCTGATTTCCCAGAGGTTAGAGAAGAGCAGCTCCTTTAGTGGGTGACAGCTGAGGTTTAGCTTGGCTCATTGAAACTCCAGGCAATGCTCAGTCCTAGCTCTAGGACTAGAACAATATACAAAGCAGCACTGTAAGGCAGCTGTGGACTCTTCAGCTGCATTCTGACATTAAAGTGACTCACTGTTGGTGTCATGGGAGCTGCAGGTGACTTGCTTGGGGCTCAGTCTTCCAAATAGATATCCTTCCTCATAAATGAAGCCACTGGAAGCTATGGCACCTACTCTTCCAACTGCAGTTGTCCTGTTGGTTGCAATGTAAGATATTCTGATCTGAGACTGAGCATTCATCATGCTGTAGCAGCACTTATGGGTGGCTGTACAGAGATTTTTGGAAGAGTTAGTCTTTGTGAGGAAAGTTTTGAAGAATGAAATCTGCAAGTACTAAATTTCCCTATGATTAATAATCCGGACAGAAAGTACCAGAAGTTTCTAAACAATAGAGGACCTGATGTCTGTTCACCCCACTGCACTTTTTAGCACTTTGTAAGACTCTTCTGAAAGCATGAATGAATGCAGTGAATAAAGTGGGAATTCTCTGCTGTCTGTCTGTATGTCCAATGGGCATATATATGTGTGTGTATGTTTGTATACACTTACATGTATTCATGCATGTAACAACAGAATTTTAATATATGTTAGTATTGCATAAATACTTAGGGATTTGTCATGATATTTTAATACAATGACAGCTGTTGTTTTCCTCTTTAGACACCTATAAGCCAACACAAAAATGTCATCCATTAGCACAGCGAGCTTTTAACTGTGGCTTGGTATTTATGTTGTCTCTTGTTCTCTGATCAGAAGCTTTGGTGGTGAGATGCCATGAACAGACATACACACTCCTCTCTTGATGGTGCTTCTCTCACTTAACTGTCATGCCTCTCTCCTTTCTTCCCCTCCCTTCCCTGTGGAACCTCACTCTTGCATAACCCAGCACGGATTTCACAGAGCGTTTCAACCCCAATGTCCTGAAGGACTCTGCCCTGTCTACACACAAACCCATTGAGGTGAAGGGCCTTGGTGGCAAGGCTACTATAATTCACGCCCAGTATAACACCCCAATCAGCATGTATTCCCAGGATGCTATCATGGATGCAATTGCAGGCCAGGCACAAGCCCAGGGTGGAGAATTTGCTGGGTAAGATTATTTCCTTGTGTGGAATGCTCTTTTTCTGCATGATACATGTAACAGTCCCTACCTGCATGACACAGTTGCTCTTCTTGGACTCTTCTTTTTCTGGAGTATATTACACTTGAAAAATACATATCAATCCTAGAAAATGTTTTAAAGCATTTCATTGTTTTGAAATTAAAAGGATGGCTAGCTAGAAAATCATAGCATGGTTTGGGTTGAAAGGGACCTTAAAGATCATCTAGTTCCAACCCTCCAGCCATGGTCAGGGGTACCTGAATTTAACCTTTCTTTTTTGGTATCCCTCCTAGAACTGGTAAACCCCACAAAAATATACCTAGTGCTGTGTATATGACATTGGATGCTTCTCATTTCTGATGACCATGCTTTGTAATAATCACTGTGTGCGTAGGTAGGAAAGAATGGGAAAGGGGGGTGGAATTTTTATTGATACATGAAGAAGGCAAAATATTTAGTACTGGCTACCGTTGGGTTCTTCAGGATGGAGTGTTCTGCCATATGATCCCTATTCCTAGTTTACATACAGTACATGTGTCTTATACATATCCTTTGAACTATGGCAAAATCCAGTGATCTTTAATAACTCTGCTTCTCCAATGCATGTTTCTGGAAATCTTACCTGATTAACTTATCCAGAGTTGTTACAATTTAACTGCAATTACATGTGTCATGAATGTAGCCAGGTGTCTCTCTTCCTCGGTGTCTTTTTACCCAAAATAAAACTGGCTTTCTTTTCCTGTGACACCAAAATATAGGATTAGCAACACAATTTGACATAGTTTCTTTTCAGTATGTTAGCTGCAGGTTTATTCAAAACATACCTGATTTGTGTATCTGCTTGTGCTCCCTTTTACTGGCCAGTTTTCTCCTTTTTGTTTAATTCTTGGGGGAGTTTTCCCACTAACATTTTGTATCAGTATTGTTCATCACAGTTCTCCCTAATGATGGATCCCAAACAATCCCTTTAGTTGGTTTTCACCATGACTCAGTGAATCTCCACAGGTGTTGAGTAGACTCATACTTCCCATTAGGAAAGTGCAAAGAAAGAAGTTCATTCGTTCTGTGTTCTTTATAATGGTTCACATCTTTCACAGGCATGGATTATATGAGGCATTTTATGATATATTGGCATTTTCCACTAAATATAATAAATATTTAATATAAATGTTTTAACTATAATATATTACATTATTAAATATAATAAATATAAATCCATTATATGATGCAGGTAGTAATGTTTTAAAAATTTACCTGTGTAAATGATCAGATGATTATGATGTCACACTGCTGACTCTGTGGCTCCTTTTAATTTATAAGAAGCACATTAAAAGAATCTCTCAAACGCAGTTCCAGTCACCAGGAGTGGCTCTACTGGACTGGAAAAACATCATCATCTTTTCCCACCTGTGGAAGAGATCAAGACACACTGAGTTTAAGGGAGAGGAAAATGCCTTTTCTATAAAATCCCAGAGCAAGTGAGATAAGTCCTAATAGTGCAACTAGGAAGACCAGCACACTTTCCAGGGGGGTTAGGGATGTCTTCATGTTGAATTGTGAAGTAAAGAATCTGGATAATTAGAAATTGTAAGATGGTAATGAATAATAGTAGTTTATACGTATGTCTTGAGAAGAGCCAAACAAATGGATACTTGAATAAAAAATAGTTTTTTATGGAATGTTGAGTCACTGCACCAGCAGCAGCAAAGGCTGTGTAAAACATCACTAGTAAAAGCTGTGTTCTAATTTTTTTTCTCATTTTGAACATGGAGGCCACCTGTCACATGGGTGTTTTTGAAATGAGATGGTTATTTCCATCAGTCCTTTTCTATCAGACAATTCTAGAGGAACATTACTTTACTCTTTGTGGACAACTCCATGACTATGTTCTCCTCTGTAATGTTGCAAAAAAACGTTTTTCTATGAGATCCTCTACATAAACTACTATTTAAGCTTTTCCTTTATTTTGGAGTGTGACTATTTAGCCAAACATTTGCCTGGTCCCAGAAGAAACTAATATTTTTATTCCCATATGCAGTCAAGTGCAGGGAACTCTCTAAATCTACTGTGCTGTGAGCTACAACTTGTTTAGTAACTTCTTTGGTTTTTAAATAACATTTAGTGACAAAATAATTTTTTCAGTAGATTGTTTTGTCCAATTATTATTGGTTTTAATCTAGATATAAAGACAAGGTTTGTGCTGCTAAAACAGCAGCCTACCCATTGACTGATATTCATTTGATTAAACCTGTAACTCATTTCCTTTAGGTGTTGCTATGATATTCTGAACTTTAATTTGTGATGGAAACTAAGATGTTCTTTAGCTTGCTTAGTTGATCAAGTCTAAGATAAGATTATGCTTAATGCAGAAGCATTTGTATGCAAAGTTGTTATATAAAAGCAGACCAACTTGTGTGCTGATTCACTTTGTCTCCATTCTCTGCCTGTAGTTCGGTCTCAGTTCTTAATTATTCTTTGGGCTTTTCATTTCAAATTAGAGATAAACCCTGAAGCCACAAGGTGTCTTTAAGATGGTAAGCACACTCAGACTGCAAATCTAAAAGGCAGGCAGTAGATGGAAACACTGCTTACTTCTTCTATCAGTGATGAAGGACAGGCAGGCTTAAGATAAGAATTCATTTTCTAGCTTGAACATTTGAAATCAGTGATGCTAAACCAAGAACCAAGAGTTGGTTGTGGTAAAACTATGTGGTCACTACATTTTAAGTACATTTCTCTCAAACCTCTTCCACGTTCCATTACACAGTTTTAGACAAATTGACAACCCATAAGTAGACATAAATCCAATAACTTTATCAGGATTAAGATCTGACAGTTTTAGTAGCAGAATCAATAATGTGATTGTACCAACTAAAGTCTTGTGTATCCTCTTCATTAAGTCAACTTGGCTGGATAATTTACCAGACTGCATCAATTTTTGTTTGGTTGGTTTGTTTGTTTGTTTCTTGGGTTGTAGGGTTTTTTTACCTCTAGAGCTTTTGTTTAATAGCTGGAATCAGTCTAATATCTGAAGTCACAGTATTTCCTTGTATGTCTGTAACATCAGGGGTAGAACACTGCAGTATTCTTAAGTTTTTACTTATTATCTACTTAAATTAAATCCGAATAATGACTCCAGGGAGTGATTCACATGGTAAATCATAGTTTATAATGAACTCCAAGAAAAAAGTCCCATTGCTACTTATTCAAAGAGTTTTGACTGTCTTTAAAGCTTGTTTTAATGTTAATGATGTGTGACTTGTATGATGATGTGAAAGAGGGGAATACTTTTGTACTGACTCCTACTAAAATACCTTAGACTGTAGTATGAAAACCCTCAAAAGCTCTAACCCAGTTGAGAAGATTTTTTTTTCAGTAGCATCAATTTAAAGTAATATGCTTAAAGATGCATGATATTTCTGTACATACACACCCAGATGGAAAGAAATTAAATTACAAAGATGTATAACAGAGATATTAACATGGTTATGTGCATCTTTAGGCTGTGTGCAAGAATCAGCTGTCGCATTTAGGTTTATGGAATGCTCATAATCAGCGATGTGCTCTATTTTACACTTCCATGCTGAGTGCCTCATATGTCCTAGTTACTCATCTACAATATAATTATGACTTTAAAAAAAAGAAAAAGGCCTGTTGAATTAAAGACAGAGTTGGAAAGATTCCAATGTATTGCATTAATTTAGTTCTATTTATATGAGCACGTTTCACTATGCTAGGGAAGGTTAATTCACCAAGCTCCATTTCCTGCCTTAATCATCTACCACAAGGATATTAATATGTCATATTAATGCCACACATTGCTACTATGTAAGTTCTGGTTCAGCCTCTAGCTCTAGTTTTTTAACTACCCCTGAGCTAATGGCATATCTGTACGTAAACCTTTAAAATGCTTTTCTGTATATTGGTCATGTCTAGGAAACATGAGCTAAAAAAGGAGCTGGAAAATGCCACTTCTTCCTATAGGGCATCTTTCACACAGAGACTTTTTTACACAGCTTGTACGTTTTGTGGCAGAACTTAAACTGAAGTCAGCTTTTTTTCCTAATCTGTGCTTCATCACATAGATGATTGTGCTGAAACATATATAAAAAATAACTGGGGTCTGTCCTGTGCTGGGTCTTCAAGAAAATGAGAAGTCTGCATACATTGGGGGTTATGAGGAACATAAATACTCCTCCAATAAAAAAAAACCAAAAATTCCTGAAGTGAGGGGGTGCTTTGGGGTCCATAGAAGTACACATCATGTTTCCAAGCCCCTTGCAGTCTGACCTGAAGAACATGTTGATGCCATTATTTGCAAACCATTAGAACAGTGTATATCACACAGTGCTGAAGAAGAGGAGTGTGTCACCCTGAAAATGCTGATATTTCAGGCACTACCTGCGAATATTTTTTATCACAGCATATGTTATTGCTCTGTGTAGGATATCAGACATGTGTCTTGGCTTTTTTGTGATTCCTCTCAGGTTTTCAAATCACAAACCCAACTTCTTTGTAGATTTTCTCTGCACATTTTCTCTGTTAGAGAACACTAACTTTGAGCCTGAACCAAGGAGGCAATTTTTCTAGCAGGGGACTGCTTCCAGAACTTTATAGCAGCGGCTTAGTTGGACCAAACGGCCCTTAACTTTTAGCAGAACTGTTTCTCAGTTTTCATGAAGTTGAGCATGCTGCTTGCAGAGCTCTTTATGGAACAGCATGGTAAAGCTGTTACAATAAATCACTTGCTTCAAAAATAGACCTTGTATTTAGAGAAGTCATGGAGCCAAGTTACTCCAAGCATACATCACCCCCCCAGTGTATATATTTCTGCAGCTCTGCTAATAGTTAATTTTAACTGTAAGCTATGCAAAAGTTATTTTTACTGGGGAAAATAAAAGGTATTAAGTTCCTTAGTCTGTTTTCTAGCTTGCATCATAAGTCAAAGAGAAGTTACCTCACTTGTGCTACAGACCTTCATAGCTTTGATTTTAGGTGGACACAATTGGACATTTCTTCCTGGATATATCACTTTGCAAGATGATTAGACCTGTGGTAAGACTCTGAGATCCATTCTGTCATTAAAGATTTCAGACACAGCAAATGTATGCAAGTCTTGACTATAAGTCTAGACTTCTTTTGCTTCACACATTTAGTAGACAGTGAATCCAGAATTATGGCAGATAGAAGTTTAAATCAGAGTTTGACAAAGAATCATGCCTAGAAAAAACTTTAAAAGCCTACCACACTATTTTTATAATGAAATGTAGTTCTTATTTCTAATTACAACCTTAATATAAACTGGCCCAACACTGTAATTTAAATGCATAACATAAAACAGTATCAACATGAAGTCATTTCTGTAAGAAATAATATGGGACAAGAACTTTCAGAGAAATAAATATTTTTGCCTGGCATACTCTCCACACATTATTTTCCACTGTAAGCTTGTGGCTGCATTGGCTGAGGAGTTATGAACAGGTGTTTCCAAGCATTTTTATGCTGTTTTGAATATGAAGACTTGGATGATAACAGGCCATTTCAAAGATATAATGGGCCATAACATAAAACTGATCTATCTGTTTTTTTTAAGAAGTACTGATTTCAAAGCTGTTGTGTTCTGCTGTTACTCTGGTTGAGAAACTGAGACCAGAGAGAGGCTGGGAGAAAAGTCACCATGTACTGTTTCACAGTGTTTCACTTTCTGAATTGCAGTGCCCTTCCTATTAAAGATCCTCACGTAGACAGTGCCTCTCCAGTGTATCAGGCTGTGCTTAAAACTCAGAACAAGCCTGAAGATGAAAGCGAGGACTGGAGTCGCCGTTCTGCCAACCTGCAGTCTAAGTCCTTCCGCATCCTTGCCCAGATGACTGGAACAGAGTACAGTAAGTGGAATAACAAAAAATCCCCCTCATCCTGATTTTAGACTCATGTCTTTATTTTGTTACCCTAATATTGACCACTGGTACTCATGGAAGCCTCACATCCAGCTTGTAGTTGTCAATAAGGGCTAATATTGGAGAACTCTGGGTGTAATTTGAGGGAACTAGAAGATCAAAGTGTTTAATCTCACTTCATGCTTTATGAAGAAAATTCTTTGATCTGCCAGGGATGTCATCATAAAAGTATAACAGATTATACAGTAAAAGAGCATTTGGGACCCCAGTTCTTCCTGCTTACAAATCAAATCTCTGCAGTGCAATCTTTCATCTTCAGCAGCCTAGACATAAAAAGTTGCCCATTCACTAGAAGAAAAGATTAGTTGTGTCTCTGTCAGTCTTTTATAGAAGTGATTCTGGAGGTCAAAAAAAATCATGGATCACCAGTTGTATTGACTCTATAGTTCTCTCAGCCCTGTTATGTAAACCTAGATCTGTGATGAATGTCACAGGAGCTTGAACTTTGTTGCTTGCTGCCTATGGTTTTTCTGACCACCTGGTACTAATCTCACAACTCGTTTCTGATCTAGGGAGATGGAAGTTCAGGGATGTTTCCCACATTAGGGGGAAATGTTTAGTATTTCCTCCTGACACAGATCTGCTGCTGCCTCTCGTGCTTGCTTACAAAACAGCAGGTCCTCTCTGTAGTGTCATTGCCTACAGCTCCTCGTGCTTGCTTACAAAACAGCAGGTCCCTCTGTGGTGTCATTGCCTACAGCTCTGAGACATTGCTTATCAATAAATGACAAAGATATTGTAATAGGATGTTTACTCCTAACATACTCCTTCCTGTCTCTGGGGAACTGCACCTGTTCATGGTGTTCTTACAAAACCCACTGCTGCAAAGCCAGCATGACTGCACCTTTAGAGAGACTTCTGATATGTTTCTAAAGAATTTATGATTTCATCATAAAACAAATTCCTTTGTTTCCTTCTGTTTTAACTGAAATGTTTTTTGCCTGCAGTGCAAGATCCAGATGAAGAAGCCCTGAGGAGGTCAAGGTAGGCAACTCCCTGTGAAAAACATGGCTTTCTCCCTCCTGATAACCCAATAATGTTTTAAAACAGCATTAATATGAAGCTACTTTATTATATTTTTGTCTTAAAATATTCTAATACGTTTACTTAAAAATCACTAAAATTAAAATGCTATCAGTGAGAGGCATTTGAATGAAAAAGATAGCAAATTAGCATACTTTTAGGAAAGACAGTGTGAAATTCCTGAAGTGTGTGAAAGCTCTCTGCTCATGCAGCTTTCCTGTACTTTACTGGGTGTGTGAATGCCATGAGTTCCAAGCCCTGTGTAACTACTCGATTGTGTAACTGGATGAAAATATATAAGGTTGTGATAGCACTGAAATTTGTGAGCAATTTATTTGGATGACCCTGTGATTGACATTTAATTCTCCTTCAATGACACAGTAATGGAGTTGTTTCCATCCATACCCATAATCATTAGCTTATGTTTTGTTTGGAATAAATATGACCCAAATTTGTAGAATATGGAAGCACAGGACTGCTTTTGCTAGTGGATAAATGTATTTGTTTCATATGATCTATCAAAAACACTGAAAGAGTGGATATGTTCGTTTAATATGGAATTAAAGATTTATCATCATCCTGCATAGCCAGGAAATAGATGTATTAGAGATTCTTATGTTGAGCTTAAAAACCTGCAGTTGAATCAGAGCATCCTGCATGCAAGCCTTATTTTCTGTTTGCATATTTCAAATCCCTGTTTCAAGGTAGCTACTCTAAGCCTCTGGCTGGGTTTGTGATGTGTTTGACAATCTACCTCCTTTTTCTTTTTTCTTTTTTTTACTGTCATGTGGCTTCTATAAAGGTTCTGAGCCTTTGATCACAGTGCAAGTTACAAATATTGAATCACTGAGAAAGATATGTTCTATCTTCCCTGTGAGAATACAATTATGCTTTCAGTTGATGTTTGCTATAAACCTTCCATTGCAGTTCACACAAGTTCATGGCTAGGTGCCCGAAAATCAGGCTTGACATTATATCCCTCAGGGATTTATTTCTTCCCTCAAATGTGCAAGCCTAATTCTCATTAAATGTATTGTGCTTTATCTGTCCTGATGTAACAGCACACATCCAAATCCTTGTTATGATGGGATTTAAAGTGTTCTGCTGAACTTGACAGTCCCCCAGCCACATCTGAGAGTAATATGCTGTTTTAAAGAAATAATCTTTTTAGCTGTAGTCTATGGCCTTGGAAAACACTAGATACTGGAAACTTAACCTGGTGTCAGATATGTTGAAAATAATTATCTAGTAACACATCAACACATGTAAATTGCACGTTCTATCCAGTGTGACTCAAAGTACATGACTATACCACTGTGCTTTGCACATTTTCTGCAGTTTTGAGGTAACACTGTGTTATCCTATTTTTTGACAAGGACAGTTCTGGTTATGTTTAGACACAGCTGAATGGGTTTGGGGGCATTCATTGGTAGTAGAGGCAGAAGGGAACATGTACTAGGTAATTCCACAGGTACAGTGCAATTGGCACAAGCTCTGGTGCAGGTATGAAATGGGGTATCCTTTTGAATTCCACAGGTACAGTGCAATTGGCACGAGCTCTGGTGCAAGGAATGAAATGGGGTATCCTTTCCACCTAATGGATAGTGCTTGCCCCATCTGAGTGGCTTTGGTACCTACCTCCAGTGTTGCACACACTCCAGGGGAGATTTGGTAGCAAGAGCCATGGCTGTGCATGCATCCATCAGATACTGCTCTTTTGGGCCTATGGGACCCCTGCTGTTTCATCTCTTGGGAAGGCTCCTGCCACTATTAGGTTTGTAAAGGATGGAAGGACCAATGTCAGATGCACAGACTCCATGCTTGAACTCCACTCTTCCAGCACAATAATGGAGTAGAAAGTCCTCTTCAGCATCTACTCCAGACAGCCTGTATAACCACACCTTTCTCACAGTTTCAGATCATCTGGAAGGTTTCCTGGGTTCCTGAAAGCAAAAGGTTTCCATGGAACTGTAGAACCTGAGTCTTGCCAGATTCAGTGCTTATTAATCCTATGCTGTGCTGGCATTCTGGAAAAATCCTTCATGTTCCAAAAGTTAAATTGACAGAGAGTGTGGGGAATTCTGGTCTCAGGGCACGCTGTGAGCAACCTCTCTCCAGTGCTTTCTCTTGTCTCTTTGTGCCAGCTCTTCAGTGTAGTCAGCAAGTGGTGATCAGGCTTCTTCCAAACACTTGGGGCAGGGAGCAGGAGGAAAGATACACACAGGTTATTTTTGGCAGAACTGTCTTACATAAAAATAGTCACTTTTAAATTACTGCTTCTGACTTGATGAGTTGTGCTCTGAACAGAACCATAAAGCTTGGGAATTTTCAGGTGGCAGAATATTCCTTTCAGTTAACATCAATAAGGACATTGCATGACTGTGCTTTGTTCATGCTACTGCTATTTTGAAGGCACACATAAGATTACAACTTGCTGTGAAAACTTTCCATTGCTGGTGTGATGATTGTGATGGAATATTTTCTGGAAAGATGGGATCCATTTCAAGTTGAACAGATGTTTCTGAATAACTTTTCCTTGAATGGAGGGGTAATATCTTGAAAGCAGTAAGGGAATTCTTAAATTACACGTCAGACTCGCTATAGCTAGTATACTCCAGTGTAACTGGAAAAAATGCCATCATGAAATTTCAGCTAGGAATACTTTATATCTTTTAATTACTTAAAAGAATAAAAGAATAAAAGATAGTTTGGGAAGTCACACATTGAGATTCATTTTTAATAGTGTTACTTGCATGACACTGTGTTATTAACAACCAAAGGTTTAGAAATATAAGTGATTTTGTTGGCATTTATCTGTTATTGTTTTGTGCTTTCTTCAGCCTGAGGAGTAAAACCAGCCCAGCCTGCTCATTTCTGTTTGTCTGGTTTCACTCTAAAGTTCTGCTGCCTTAACACAATTGTCTTGCACTTTGAGTGTAAATAATGAGAAAAAAATTACCTTGTTTGCACTGACTCAAATACATTTTGCAAATAACATTTTATTTTCCATTCTGTTTGGTATACTTCTCCTTGACTGTGCTCTCATCTCACATCTTCCTTCTTCCCTTTTTCACAAAATCTGAATTTAAACTATAGAGTATCTAGAACACTTAAATCCTGAGAGGTGCTTGAGCACCCAAGTCTGCAGTCAGAGGTAACTGGGGGTGGCAGGAGGTGGCCAATACTTCACAGGACTATGCTTTGAAGATCCCATGTTGTTCTGCTTTGTGACACAAATGACCAGAAATATTTATGCAAACATCAACACTAATACTCACTAATGCTGAGAAAAGCTATAGAAAAGCACTGCTGAAACCTGTGGCTGATGGTCTCTGCAGCACAGACAGCAGGATATAGATGGCTGGCCTAGGTGGTACAGAATGGAAAATATCTGCATTCATTTTGCACTTGTATGAGTTAACTTTCACTGACTGCTCTGTTTGGGGGGGAGGGAGGGAAAAGCCAAGAGAAACTGCTGGCAGGAAAACAATGGGATTACACTGCATTTCTAGCAAAAGCAGCCCTGTAATACCAAGCACAAGTCAAAGAATAAGAAGTTATATCAAGTTACTTCTCAGAAACAAACAACTGCAAAACCTTTCATACATGGTCCAAAAAGCACCACTCAGCCTTCACTGTGCTGGTTTGAAAGCTGAGGAAAAAGTCCAAATAAATTGCCTTTGCCCTAGTTATAAGGCAGGGGAGTGGTAGCCATGGTCCCTAACCCCTTTCTTTCTCCCTCCTTTCTTTCTTCTGTGTGTGTGTCTCTCTGTCTCTGTCTTTCTCTCTCTCTCTCTCTCTCTCTTTCTCTCTTTCTTCATGCCACAGGGAAAGGTTTGAAACGGAACGTAACAGCCCACGCTTTGCCAAATTGCGCAACTGGCATCATGGCCTGTCAGCGCAGCTCCTTAATGTTAAAAGTTAAAGCCCTCACTGAGCAGGCAAATCCATGAGACAGTTACAGAACAACATTAGCCACTGTCCTAACTTAGAGCCTGAGCACATGACAGATGCATTGCTAGGGCCTTTCTCTGTAGATTCCTGTTGTTAGCCTGTTAGACATTCACTGGCACCAAAAGTAAAAATAACGCTAAAACTCAGTTAATGTTCTTCATTATAAAGTAGTTTAGCTTTTGTCCTTTACTATCTCAAACTTCAGTATACAGGAAAACATCACTATTGTAGTCTCTTGACTTTTCTAGAAGAAAATGAGAGGGAAGATATCGACAGTATTTCTTTAGGAGGAATGAGAGTTTTACTGAGTTTTACTGCTATAAAGATAATGAAGTAGGTGACAGAAAGTTGAAAAGGAAAACTGACTGGCCTAGACTTTGCTAATTGTACAACATACTCAGTTTGCATAGTTGAATGATGCTGTTTGAAATAAGATATTAGCAATGTGAAGTTATATTTCTTCAATATATTATACTGGTAGAAGTCATTTTCTGAAACCATTGCTGTAAGTTTTGTGTTGGAAACTTGAATTTATCGTTATATGAAAGTGAGAGATAGCTGAGGTTGCTCAGGATCTGCAAGGAAATGACATTTTTCTAGAGGTGATTTAGGAGTGAGAAGAATATATCATACTACTGGTGCACTGAACCTTTTAAAAGCATCTTGTAAGTTTTAAGGAATATGTTGCCCATTCTGTATTGCTCTTGCTTTGACCCACATTTTTTTCTGTATATAGCAGCATGCTTTATCTGAAATAAAAGGTTTTAAAACTTAAATAATTATGTGCCTGTTTTACACAGTACTTTATTGTTTTAAAACAATAACTGCTTCAACTGATTATTGAAAGGAGGAGAAATTTTCTTTCCCAAATAGAAAATTTGGTCAAAAAGCTTTCCATTATTAGCTATAATTATTATTGACCTTTTAGGTGTCTGAATTAGAATAAACCTGACAAAGCAGGTGAATGAACAACAGAAATGAACAAAATATTGTATTAGGTGTGAATG